CATTTGCATGCTAAACTATATATTTCTGTTCAATGTTTATTTAGGGACCAAAGGTGACTTTGAAGTTGAATCTTGCATCCTTTATGTCTGTGACTGAACACATGCAACATATATCCACTAGGTGGTAGGCTTTTATTGATTAATCTCAAATGGCACTTTACGTTCACTACACCTTCAAATAAGAATGGGTGATTTTTTGCAGATATTCTGATGAAACGTTTGTACTCTAATATCTAGATGTCATCCACTCAATTGACACTAAATTGATACTTCTGCATAAATATTGAGTATATAGTGTGTGCATCAGTGAGAAAGAGGACATCTCTCGACAACAAAATTGAACAGTACTTAATAATTTACGCGCAATAACAACGGATTTAGTAATGATGTCAGGAAAAGCACAACCCTGCACTCAGATAAAATCTGCACCATTCAGAATAACATTGTCGTAAATCCCATATCGGTTTTATCTTCCCGATTACCCTGGATGGGAGGTGTTTTTGTCAAGGCAACGTCATCAATGCAGCCAGTGGTTTAAATCTAACATACAGCCGTACGGAGTGCGCTGTGCTGCGAACCAAGCGCTCCCAACGTGCTGTAAAGTGAACGTAGTGACGTAACCTCTTTGTGTTGGCAAATCATGGTTCACGCTGGGCGGGCATTGTGAAGCTGTAGCTGAGTGTTAGCAGGCTAACTAGAGAAAGAAAGCTAACTAATCGTGAGAGTGGAAGTGGAGCTAACGTTAAAGGAAAGACAACTGTCAAAACAGCAAGGGGAACAGAAATTTTAGTGGAGTGATAATTCTGTTAGATGGCTACACAAACAGATTTATAGCAAGTTAATCAAAGACCGTGTTTGTCAGATGCCCGAGGAGCATTTTGGATACTACATCGATTGTCCCATTTCCAAACGGAAACCATTTCTGGACAGACAGTTCGTGCTAGCTAGCCTAGCTAAGTGAATAATCCAGGAGACTTTTCATTGTCACCTAAAAACCCAAACTGAATGTTTTGTCTGTCATGAGTCCGGCCGGGTGCTCCCATGTGAACGGTTATAAGGTGGATAATTGGAAACAAAATCTTCGAGTCATATACCAATGCTTTGTTTGGAGTGGTACTGCTGAGACCAGGAGACGCAAGGTAAAAACACAGGAACTGCAACGTTAGCTTCAGAAACAGAAGTGAAATAATTTTGATGTGGCACAAAGACAGACACAGAACTGGAGTGCAAATGATGTCCCACATGAAGCACAATCACTGAATGGGCTTGAGCAAGATTCAGGTCTTGCTGAGACTGTACTCAGGCAGCAGTACTCTGGTTAGCCAGCTAGGTTATCACCGGTAAGTTAGCTAGCAAGACTGTGCTTGGTGAACTGCGGACACTTTGCTACAGCACTTTATTTGTCTTTGCTAACTAAAACAACGATAATTCAACCTTTCTGTCGTGATCCAGTCGGTTAGGTTAGCGAAGACTAAACTTGGGTTCTTGGAGAGTTGTGGCCACGGGCTAACACTACCACACCGAGTGGACCCATTGTGTCTGTGCATACACACATACGCGCGCGCACACACACACACACACTAGGTCCACACAAGAGCGGTTCTCTCTTGAGCGTCCTATGCCAGTGTTTTTTTTTTCTGCCCTTGTCATCCACTTACGAGTTTGGATGCTGCGGTTTCAGCTGATTGCTTTACTGCCAATTTGTTTTTGGGCTCATCCCACACCTGCTCGGCCTACACAGCTCTCTGCCATGTGATGTCATCACTGGACTGTGTTGCAGTTTCTCTCACTTTCCCACTCACAGTCTTCCGTTTTGTCAACTTTCTTGTTTTTGTTTGGTGTTGTACAATGATGTTCACATTGAAGAACACAGTTTTAGTTTCAGTGAGGATTGGCAACAATTTGTCACTTGCTCATAAGAAATCCATGCCTCTCTTACATATGTCATGCATTTTTATGTCGTTGTGATAAAATAGGTGCTTCAGAGTGATGCAGGATGGACAGAACTGGTGAGTTGATGTTTATCCCCTCCTTATCTTCACTGACATATTGCAGGTAGTTTAGATGACTACAAGCTGGCTTGCTTTCTCTCCTCCTGCTCATCCGCCTGCCTCAGTGCGTCTTCGTTTAATGGACTGACTATTAGATGTAACACAATCCAGCGGGAGGAATCAACCCTATCTTTTCTATTTGTTGTGATGCACTATTGGAGCCAGAAAGATTACCTGGTGGGAGGGTGGACCATGAGTGGAACAGCAAAAAGCATATCTCAGTTACATTGCGGGCATGTCAAAGCAAATAGCCAGTCTTAAATGGTCGCTGAACCTTCAGCTGATATGGTGTTGTAGTGACATGCTTTCCTCTGACCATAGTGCTCACATTGTCTTTGTTTTTTCTTTCTACACCCTAAAGCACAGCAGAATTAAAAAAAAGAAATTGCAGGAAGGCATTTGAAAATACATGACACAGTTAGCTATTTGTTAGACAGTGTTGTGGGTGACACTGCCACAATTTTATCAGCATTTGATGAAGGTCAATTACAGCTGTCTAGTTTCTTTCTCACCCTCTGCCTGACAGGAATGCACTCAAGAGGAGCTCAGTCAGTCTGTCGCAAATATCGGACTCGTCAGAGGTGCTTTGTTTTGCTTACTTAGTAATTATCACCATTGTTTTGCCCAAACCCCTAGCTGTGTGTAGCAGTCGCAAACATGGATTTTCTTTTACTTTCCGCATCAGTTTTGAAAGCCTTCCTGTCTCCGCAGCCTTCCTGCCAACCGTAGTCTGCCATGTTTTTTGTTTTTTTTTAACCAATCAGTGCATCAGTAGCAATCACCACCTTTCACCTTTGACAAGCACAGTGGCAGTGTACGATGGGTATGGTGATGCTTCCCTGTTTTCAAACTGAGACTTCTCTTTAATGTATGCATGCTGCATGAAGGACCATCCTCCAGGTCTGAATCCACTAGCTGTCATAGTTCTTAAGGATAAATTCAAGTTTTCCATTGAATCCTTGTAGGTCATGTTGCCAAATGCAGGTTTCTATACAATTTAAAACTGCCTCTGGTAATGTAAGGCTGTGTTGGACTGTATTTTTACACTCTGTACTCAATCATCAGACGTCACCTGTCAGTGAAGTTTTTTTCTTTCAATTGAGCACCACCTACTCTCTCCTACATACTCAGTCACAATACACATATGACCTTGGAAGCGTGAAGTACATAACTTACATTAGTCTTTGCTAGCTTTGTGTCATTGCACACTGTATCCAATACTGAAATATAAGATATTCAGATGTTCATTTATGTATGGCTGGAAGGCAGGTAAAAAGAAAAGGGCATACCCCTGCTTTTTTTTTTCTCCACTTTTTTTAAGAAATGCTCCATGCACATACTGAATGATTGTACATCCACAGGGGTGATGCTGTTACATTTTTAAATACAGCTGGAGACAGAGTTTTTGACAAGTTGCACTTAAAATCAGATTTGCACACAAGGGCCTATATTTAAGCTTTGCATGCTGTGTGTTACATCTGCCTTAAGTTCTCTCTGTATTACTTCGTTGTGCTCCAGGATGAATATATCTGAGGAGTCTTGTGCCTCACACCCTCTGTACTGAGCCTCTTTACCATCTAACTCATGTGACATGCAGAGCAGGTGTCGTGCTGCTCCAGTAGTACATAGGCAGTGTATTCTCATGAGGTAAGGTAAGACACTTGCGGTTTTTGTTCAGCCTTGAGTTAGGAGCTTAGATGACTAAGACTGCTGTAACATCAGATGCTGGTAATGTAACATTGTGGTTTATGTATACAAAAACGGTTTCTGACCTTGCTGTGTCAAAATCTTATTTGAATGGATGACAGTGACATTGAGAGGTATTCTAAACGTTAGAATGGTTGATTGTACAAGAGCTTATCACTGCACTGCTTGCTGCATATTCATCTTACAACAGTACACGGAAAGCACTCTAAAATAAAAGAGACGCTTGTGACATCGGGGGAAGTTAGAGGGCATTATCATTCAATAACTTGGTTTTATTAGCCAGGGCCTAGTATCCTGAATTGCTGTTTCTCACCTCTTTCTTTCTTTCTTTCTTTCTTTCTTTCTTTCTTTCTTTCTTTCTTTCTTTCTTTCTTTCTTTCTTTCTTTCATCTGTCCTCAGCAGCCTTCCTGCAAGCGCTCATAATCTCTACCTCAAGCTAAAATCAATTCCCAGGCAATGTACAGGAACATAGATGGAAAACCTGTCACCTGCTCTGCACAAATAGCAAAAAGAATGGCAGTGAGAGGAGTTTGCAGGGGAGACATCATGACCCTGTGTGACATGCAATCTGCTGTGTATAATTTTGGGGACATACGTGTCGTAATTCTTTAAGCATATTCTTTCTAGAAGGAAAACGCTTCATCAAGCTGGAGTGCACATAAAGCTTTACACTGACACAGTGTGTGAAAGGGTGCAGATTTTTTATTTTCATGGACTCTTCTTAGGCCTGAAGCATGATGTCCATATTTAGTAAATATGTTTTATTGTCCACTGCACAATCCATATCTGAATCATTGTGTAATTGTATGTGACACAAATGCCCCATAAAGAAAACAATTCTGTTTAAATGAAGCAGTTTATTAAAGACGCTGCATGAAATGAGATTGCAAAAATAGAGAAGTGTGCAGTTGTGTTTTCTCTTTGGTGTTTATGAGGATCAAATAATAATTAATATTTCTTAATCTGATTTTACTTGGTGCTTTGTTATATTCTGCTCTGATTGAGGCAGCTACATGTCAAGGGCTATTTATTAGTGGGAAGGTCCTAATTGACCATGCCTGTTAGCCAGAGGGGTCACACCCAGTATAGAGAGAAAACAGCTCTGTTTCATATTTCAGAAGAGAAGCTGTTGTTCTTTACGACTCCCCGTTCTGTCTTCTAGAGTCCTTTTCTTTATTTTCACTGTTTCTTGTAATTAATATGAAGTTTTGACTTTTGACATCTGTCTGAGCATTTTTTTTTTTTTTTAGTTTTTTTTCCTCTCTTAATTGATGTTCCACCAGATTACCATGTGCCATTTAAGCAGACCTACACAGAAGGATGTCAGAGCAGCCTGAGGACAGAAACCTGCCCTTTCCTTCAATGGCTGAATTCATTCTCTTTATATAGATTTCTACTGGAGGCCCTAACTCAAGTTATATTCATAATTTATAGTTTATAGAATGGCTGTGATGGTGGATAGTGTGAATATTCATGAAGGACATTTTTTTTTTTTATCTGGGGGTTGCTCCATACAGCAGGATTTGCTCAGTTCAGTATCCTTGTCTACTATAACACTGCCACAATGAATTACTGTGTTATGCAGTAAAACCAGAGCTTTTACTTTAGGTTGAGTGGAAAGTAGATAAGATGAAAGCAGGTTGGGGTTGGCAGAACTTTACAGCCATAACTGCTTTGAAGAATTTGCTGTCACTTTGATTAAAGGGATAAGGGTCATGATTAGAGAACTGACTGAAGTCAACTTTTATTTTCTAGTTTTGATAAATCATATATGATACCAGGGACCATAACCACACCTCTCCCCACAAGTGCAAACCTCCTGTCTGCGTGTGATGAGGGAAGATGAGAGAGAGAAATCATTTGCTAGATGTTGCTGGGTATTTCAGAGGTAGGAAAACGGATATATTTTAAAGGATGACACATTTATGTTACTCCATTCCCTCTCCTGTTCTTTCAGTTGGCACACAGAAATGCACTGAGGCATGGCTCATCCGAGAGAGCGGCTGATTTCTGTGCTATGAGCAGATCTCTTTGTCAGATCTGTCTCCATCACATCATAGGCCTGCTCCCTGACTCATCAGCATACGTTTGTAGCACCGGGATCTATTCCTACAGACTCTTAATATCGCTTGCTCGTTCCTCTTCTGCACTCACTCCCACGTTGCTTCTTCTTTTCCCTTCCTCGCTTTGAGTTTTTTTTCTGTTTGTAAACCTAGTTCAGCCTGCAATTTATGTTGCCTCTTGATTATCCCTTTAACTTGGTGTGAAAAACATTCCACTTGTATTGTTTATCATGTAATAATTAGAATACTGTGGTTATTATACAAAACACAGACTACTTTGTTAAACTGCCATCCTGAGATTTGCATCCAGAATTTATGGATTCTAGGAAATTTTTAGCCAAGCCTCTAAAAGTCTCATTTTCCCCTCTTCCTATTCTGTCCTTTTTTCCTTCATCCAGCTGCCTCGCAGACAGTCTGTGGGTTTGGTGATGTCAGATGTTGGTCTCTGGCCCTCGTCCAGTCCTGTTTTCTTCATGTCCGCATGCTTTCTGTCACTCCCAGGTCTTGCCTAATGTGGCTTTTGGTCTGTCAGTCACCGTGGCTGCGGCTCAGTGACTCAGACTAAACAAATGGCAGAAGGTCTGTGAACTCCTCCCAGAGTAATCGCTGGCCTGGTGTGTCACCTTGGGGTGTCCCTTTCGCATGCTATTTGCCTCCCACTTTTCAGCCATAGAGGCTAGTCTCATATATATTCAGTATCTCGTATCAGCGTCAAGGCTCTATAACACACTTGCCATCTTTTTTGTACTGTATTGCTGGATGAGCTTTCACCTTTGCCATTTTTTCTGGTAAGATATGCTAAAGGAGAGACAACACTTGGTCTCTCACTATGCTTTAACAATCTTCCACCAGAGAGAAGTTCTGTTCAAGTAGATGCAACATTGACATAGGCAAAAGTGGAGGTCAAGGGCATGGGTGGGATGCTCCATATTCACAACTTTACATAAGAATGGTATTTTGCAGTGAGCCTCATCACTTGAGCCTCAAATGTGAATACAATGAAATGAGTTTTTTTTGGACTGAGAAAGACTTTGCGTTTAGATTAAGCTCATCTTGCATCTAGTTCGGCTCTCAGCCCCTCCTTCAAGACAACTTCACTTTGGCTGATTCACTCTTCCATTTTCCCCCTTTGACTAGAAGTGATACTTCTCATTTCACTGTCCAAGAGGCTTTGGACAGGCGTCAGT